ATGCAAATTTGTTTGCAACAGATGAAGACTTCAATTTTGAGTCATCTGACTGAGCAATCAGGCGACTACAATCCAATCCCAGAGGACATGGGGACCCGAATTCTGAGGATTATATGGAATAATTTGGAAGATCCTTTAAGTCAGACAGTGAAACAAGTCCATCTAACGTTTGATCTTTTCCTAGATATTCAGTCAACCCTTCATTCAGGAGTTGACAGCAAGGGTATCAAGCCATTTCTTGTAAATATTGCTTCCCATGTACTACGTATGGGGGCTCGTTGTAAGGGAAGATATGCTCCCTTGGCTTCACTGACTAAGAGGCTGGGAGCACTGGCTTTGCTGGACATGAACTCTGACTTGATGGATGAAACAGCGCAAGCGTACTTAGATGATGATGTGTGCTGTGCTGCCACATCTTTCTTAAAATGTTTTCTTGAAATCTTGAGAGATGAATGTTGGAACAATAATGGTGTTGAGACAGGTTATGAACTTTACAGAGGATATTCTCTGCCCCCTTTTCTTAGTGGTCTTGCTTCTGGAATATCAAAGCTTCGCTCAAATCTCAACACTTATGCGCTCCCTGTTCTGCTTGAAGTTGATGTGGATAGCATATTTCCTATGCTTGCTTTCATCTCAATCGGGCCAAACAGCAAGGAAAGTGGAATTTCACATCCTGAGCTTACTTGCTGGAACTTGGAACTTGGGATTGGAGAAAAGGTGGCTGTCTTAATCTCTTTGCTTAAGGTATCACGTTCACTTGCATTGCTGGATGGAGATATTGATTTATCTGATACCAGTTCAGATGATAATGTTCCACTAGATTGTGTAAAGGGAGCAGAACTCGTGGGTTCTTATGGTATTGTATGCATTAAAGGGATAATGGTTAAGGTCCCTGTCGACTGGCTAGTAATGGCTTTGACTCATGTTGATGAGTCACTTCGAGTGGATGCAGCTGAGACTCTTTTTCTGAATCCTAAGACATCTAGTCTTCCTTCTCATTTGGAACTCGCTCTCCTCAAAGAAGCTGTGCCACTGAACATGAGAAGTTGCTCAACGGGTTTTCAGATGAAGTGGTCAAGCTTGTTCAGGAAGTTCTTCTCTCGGGTTCGAACAGCATTGGAGAGACAATTTAAGCAGCATGGCTGGAAACCTTTAGGCAAAATAACTGAACCGTTTTCAAACAGGGAAGTTGGCATTGAAAGGGCAGCGCATCTTTTTAGTTTTATGAGATGGCTTGCTTGTTTTTTATTCTTCTCATGCTATCCCTCTGCCCCTTACCGGAGAAAAATCATGGCAATGGAACTCATACAGATTATGCTCAATGTATGGTCTATCAGACCTTCGCAGGACGACTCTGGGAGCTGCCTGCATCCCTACAGTAATTCCATCAGTTCACCTGATTCAACCTTGTTGCTGGTTGGATCTGTTATAGATAGTTGGGATAGGCTCAGAGAGAGTTCTTTTCGTATTTTGCTTCATTTCCCTACCCCGCTTCCTGGCGTTGAGTCTGCTGAAATGGTCAAGAAATTAATCATTTGGGCTCAGAGATTAGTTTGCAGTCCACGGGTGAGAGAAAGTGATGCAGGTGCACTAACTTTAAGGCTCATATTTCAGAAGTATGTAATGGAGCTAGGATGGACTGTTAGAGCTTCTGTTAAGGTCGTATGTTTTGAGAGATCATCATATCATCAAGTATCCAATGGGGCTGGTGGCCAGATGGTTCAACCTTCAACTCCTGTTGTGGAGTACATTAAATCTTTGATTGATTGGTTGGATGCTGCAGTGGAAGAAGGGGAGAAAGATCTCCATGAAGCTTGTAAGAGCAGCTTTGTTCACGGGGTGTTGCTTGCTTTGAGGTATACATTTGAGGAACTGGATTGGAATTCTGAGGCAGTCATGTCTAGCAGCTTAGACATGAGATCTGCATTGGAGAAACTCTTGGATCTGGTTATGAGAATCACAAACTTGGCACTTGGGGTGGTTTCTGCTGATGCCTGGTATATGCCTGAGATGGATGAGATGGATGATGAAGATTCTTACTTAGTAGGTGAGATGGATGTTGTGGAACTCTCATCTGAGCAAGGTGGCATTGATTCAAAACTTGAGCATGGCAACAGGATGTCCGAACAGATTGTCATGGTTGGTTGCTGGTTGGCTATGAAAGAGGTACATTTCTTATACTTTTTCATTCTATTTACTCTTGCTGGTTGGCTATGAAAGAGGTACATTTCTTATACTTTTTCATTCTAATTACTCTGGCTGGTCTGGCATGGGTACTTGGAGTCAATTTATCTGTAAGTAATTTTTCCTTTTCTGTAATGGTTTCAGGTGAGTCTTCTTCTTGGAACTGTCATGCGAAAAATTCCTTTACCAACAAACAGTTGTTCAGATCCACTGGAGCAGCTACCCAAATTTTCAGATGCTGCTAACCTTGAAACAACATCCAATGCTGTGCTTGATATGGAACGGCTTGAGCAAATTGGAAGGCACTTCTTGGAAGTACTTCTTAAGATGAAGCATAATGGAGCAATTGATAAGACGAGAGCTGGATTTACTGCTCTTTGCAACCGTCTGCTTTGTTCTAATGATCCAGAGTAAGTTTTTCTTTTTTCCCTTTTCTTCCGGCAGTGTATAGATCCTATTTCCAGAATCCAAAGGGACTTTTCTTTCAGCAGAGAAAGGCAACAACAGTTTTAGACCCTGATTCAGATTGAATAAGCTCAATTGGAGTTTTTTTTTTTTTTTTTTGTAGTTTATAATATACTTTTTTGGCTTGTCCGTGAGACGGGAGACTAATTTATATAACAACTTCATTCATGTATATGATGCTGATATCTCTTTTGTGTCTTCTAGACTATGCAAGTTGACAGAGTCGTGGATGGAACAACTTATGGAAAGAACTGTGGTAAAGGGACAAACTGTGGATGATTTGTTGAGGAGAAGCGCCGGCATCCCGGCAGCATTTATTGCTCTGTTTCTTTCAGAACCAGAAGGTTCACCCAAAAAGCTTCTCCCACGTGCTCTTCGATGGCTAATTGATTTGGCTAATGGCTCTTCGCTTAGACTGAATAATGCCACTTCCTGGGCAAAATCAGATCAAGTCCCCGATTCCGAACAGCAGCAGTACGAGACTTGTGAGATGCAGAAGGCCTCAAAAATACGAGATGAGGGTGTAGTTCCAACTGTACATGCCTTTAATGTTCTTAGAGCCGCTTTCAATGATGCAAATTTGGCTACTGATACATCCGGGTTTGCTGCAGAGGCTATAATTATCTCAATTAGCTCTTTTTCTTCCCCATACTGGGAGGTAAGGAACGCAGCTTGTTTGGCATATACTGCACTAGTACGGCGTATGGTTGGGTTCTTAAACGTTCTGAAAAGGGATTCTGCACGTCGTGCCTTAACTGGCCTTGAGTTTTTCCATCGGTATGGTTTCTCGGTCTTGACTGATTAGGATTCTTTGGCTTGCCCCTTTCAGTTTTTTCTCATTGTGTTACCTGAAAGAGAAGTCTCTGATTATATTTGGTTGGCTTAGGTACCCTTTACTACACTCATTTCTTCTCAAGGAACTGAAAGTTGCAACTGATCTGCTTGAAGATGCAAAACCTGGGCATTCGGGATCCAACCTAGCAAAAGTTGTCCATCCAAGTTTATGTCCAATGTTGATTCTTCTATCCAGGCTCAAGCCTTCAACTATTTCTAGTGAGAAGGGAGACAATCTGGATCCCTTCTTGTTTATGCCATTCATCAGGAAATGCTCTACCCAAAGCAATCTACGAGTCCGTGTTCTTGCTGCTAAAGCCTTAACGGGGCTAGTATCCAATGAGAGACTGCCACATGTCCTCTTGACCATCGCCTCCGAACTACCTCACTCCAATAGTCCAGTCAAGAAAGCTACCTCGGCTTCTTTCAACTCAACACATGGGATGTTATTGCAGCTCAGTTGTCTTCTTGATGTTAATTGCAGAAACCTGGCTGATTTTGGGAAGAAAGATCAGATTCTCCACGATTTGGTCCAGATTCTAGTGCAATGCTCTTGGATATGTTCCCCCAAAAGCTGCCCGTGCCCTATCTTAAATACATCCTTTCTACAGGTGGTGGATCACATGCTCAGTATCAATGATAATCTTCTTAATATTCGCCAGCTGCTTTTGGAACTCTCTACAGGATGCTTAGATGCTGAAGATTCTTATAAAATGGTTTCTTATGATCCCACGGTAGCTGAGCTTCGGGAACAAGCTACGCACTCTTATTTCAGTTGCTTCCTTCAGAGGCCTAAAGTTGAAACTGAAGCCTTTGTTGGACTCCAAGAGAGGCTGACGCTTTCCTTGAAAGATTCATCATATGAAGTTCGACTGGTGACACTGAAATGGCTGCTTAAGTTCCTGAAGCATGATTTTCTCCTGGGGGAGATGGCAAAAACTATTGAAGAATGGACTAGATCAAGCCTTCAGAAAACCATGATGAGCCTCTTGGACTTGGAGAAGAATCGTCGGTGTGTATACTACATTCTCAGGGTTATTTTCACCTGGAACATGCTACTGTTTGAGAAGACTGGTGATAACCGAGATATTGATGGCACTGATTATGTCTGCCAATTGGATCTTTGCCAAATATCCCAGTTTTGGGATAAGTTGCAGTCATTATACAAGGTCACAAGACATTTAAAGACCAAGGAGAAACTCATCTGTTGCATGGCCATATGCGTGAAGCAGTTCGCAGCCCTATTCATCAGCTCTCCTCTTTCTTCCACTGAATCAAATCAACTGGAGACCCCAATATATTTGATTCGATCCATCACCTTTTTCGTTGACTTGATCAAATGCCATAGCTCCTCATCTGAACCAGTAAACATGCGCATGGCAGTTGCTGAAGCTATTACGGCATCGAGTTTGCTCGGGCAAGCAGAACTCCTCGGTTCTTCTGTATTCAACTCTGATCCGCCATATAATGCTTCTTCCTCAAAACGTTTGCCAAACTTATATGCTTCTCAAGTTCTAGAGATATGGTTCACTAGCATCAAGTTGATGGAGGATGAAGATGACGGAATTAGACAGAAAGTCGCACAAAATGTTCAGAAACACTTTCACCATCGTCGGGAAGTCAGTGGTGTTCCAACCCAAGTGGAAAGAGTGATCGAGCTCAGCTTTTCCCATCTTTCCTCCATCTTCGGCCACTGGATTCCTTACTTCACTTACCTCTTACAGTGGGTACTGGACATAGCAGCAACAACCTCTTTTGTTTCTTCTTCCGGTGGTGATGATCTCGTGAGACGAGTTTTTGACAAGGAGATTGATAACCACCATGAGGAGAAGTTGTTGATATGCCAGATCTGTTGCTCCCATCTTGAGAAGCTTCCTCTTCCAGCTATCGACCTGTATTTGTGGAGGATGAAATTTGCTAACCAGCTGAAGTTATTTGCCGAAAACTTTGTTGGAAAACTTGGAGGAGTTGAGTGGATAGGTGGTTTGGGTAACCACAAGGATGCTTTTCTGCCTGTGTATGGGAATTTGCTTGGGTTTCACGCCATCTCATACTGCATCTTGAACGGGGAATTCGAGGATGGAATGGGTATCTTATCTGATGTTGTTGAACTCGGGAAAAGTATTGAATGCTTCTTCAGTAATCCACTGATCCTTAATCTGTTTTCGCTGGTACTGAGATCGCACGAGAAGAATGCTGGTGCCTCTGCTGCACACCAGTTTGGCTGTGAGTTGGTAGATGATGCTGCTGCTGCACTTTACGATGGGTTTAATCCGTATTATCTTCTTAGATGAAGGAACTTACAATCTTTCGAGCTGGTTTTGTCATAGTGTAGAATAGTATACGAAATTCTAACGTGGGATTGCTAAATCTGTACTTGTACCAGCAATGTTGAAAGCTGTAATGCCTTGTTAACAGCCCTTGTATAAGATTGTTCCGATGCTGCAATTATGGTCCAGTTATCTGTAGACGTATTTGGGTCGATTATGGGTTGAAATTAGGAGTTGAACCCAACAACATTTTGACATGGCTTGTACTAGCAAAACTTGATATAGAAATGAAGCATGACGGTCGCTATTGTAATGACCCAGCATACAAGGTTCCAAATATACCCAAACTGCTGTAGCTTCACAAGGCAACTACTCTACTGAACTTCCTGCATTTCCTAAATCCTAACTCATAATGCTTCTCTAGAGTCTGGTAAAGAAAGCTAATGCTCAACTAAATGAACTAACTGGTGGGAGATTAAAGCTCCACTACTCTTCCTTGACGCCATCTTCGCCTGCATCATCTTCCTCGTCACCATCATCACCACTTTCCTGTAGATTTCGCAAGACAAAAGCTTAGACAGCTGCTACTACAGCAAACTATTATCTTTCTGAGCTTTCATGCTACAATGAAAAGTGCAGTTTACCTCCTCATCTTCATCAGAATCCTCTTCATCAGCATCCTATATGGGCAAGGCATAAAAGAGAGCATAAGCAAATTAAATTCTCAGTGACAGAGCTATCAATACTAAACTCATTTTCACTCGCCAACAGAAAGAAACAACACGATAGCAAAGAGGAACGTGCAGTATAAAAACGATTACCATGTTGAAGTACTTCAGGGGATTCGGCCACAGATCCTCCTTGATTATCTCCGACACCTGATACATTGACGAGTGAAGTCCATATAAGAACACGCTGAATTAAAAATGTAGAATCTAGTTTTACGGAACACGATTCCTCACATCATCCTGAAGTTCGGAGATGTCCTGCTCAGTTTCACCAAACCAACCGAAAAAGCTGCAAACAAAAAAATAATCGATCAACATCAATTCTCATTGACAAACATCATTCAGTGAGTGGTACATAAGAAACTACAGACAGTAGTTAAAAAGATACAATAAACAACCTCGTCTCAGTCCAAGGTCGCTTGTTTCCCTTCTTTTTCTCATCATCAACTCCGTTTTTGGCAGGGTCCTTCACAAGAAAAAGCTCAGAATCGAAAGCCAAAACATGGAGTGAACTCTTAGAACATTCTAATGGGATAGTAGTTGCAGCCTTACCCTGCCCTCCTTCCACTTGATGTCTGTACCAGTTATCTTAGTTGTGCCATCATCCGAGAAATTGTAGGTTTTTGTCAGCTTTGTGTCATGGAAATAAGGGTTCTCCTTGAAATTCTGAAATGACAGAGAAACAATAGAGAATAATAAGCTTATAACCTAATAATGAGATCTCCTCAAAGTTGGAAACAACACCACAAGCATTTCAAAACAATGAGCAAGTAGAGTCAGAATATTCAACATACAAATGTGATGGAGTAGCCAGTTTTCAGATCCTTGAAATCAGCAACATCAAGGGACTCCACATACTTTAAGATCTGCACATTTGGAATTCAAGCTTAACCCATGCAGTTAATAGTACCATAACAGCAATTAGTATCAATAATAATAAACTAGCAGTGATTCAAACCTCATGGTCATCGTCACCAGTCAGGAGATCACCAAGAGCAGGATGACTCATGAACTGTGACATATACCCCATCCAAAAGCAAAAGTAAGATACTAATTCGCCATTGATTAAGCCGGGAAACCATAAGTTCTGTTCGCAATAAGGAATCCATCACACTTACAGCCGTCAACCAGAAGTCAGGCATAGACTTTATGAGCTCATTCCTATTGAGGTAGATGGGTCTGCGGACCTCGTTATACTTCTGTTCAATTGCCAAGACTTCGTCACTCTCTTCTTCATGGATCTGTCCAAGTTACAAGATGAAAAAGCACCAAGCTTTCATAGGTCAAAACAACTAATTACTGTTCTTTTTTTCTCAAAGACAAAACTCCACATTTCAAGCAAAAAACGAAAGGGCCGGTCTTTTAGGGTTATCTCCTAAAGATTGCACCTTTCGAAACCCCTTCCTCAAACGAGAAGCGTCAACAAACAAGAAGAGCACAAGGGAGTCTACTCTACTAGTCATACACAACAGCAGGCAAACAGAAGGAACGGAAAAGAGAGGACTGAGAAAAGGGAGGGAAGAGAGAAACCTTGTCGAGCTCATCCTGGACGTCTTTTAACTTCTCAAGTGAGAGTTGAAGCTCCACATCAATCTGATCAGCAGGAGGGTGTTGCTGCTCTTCATTGAGCTTGGATTTCTTTCCGTTGCCGGCCACCATTGTTGTCCAAGAAAGCCCGGGAAAGGGAACGGTGTAAGGAAATGGGGTTTTGGCTGGGTAAGGGTTTTGTGCTTGATGGTGGTGGGGTAGACCGTAGAGTAGAAGATACGAGGAAAACAATTTATATACCCTCAGACCTCAAGGGAGCAAGGGTGTTGCCCTTTCCACGAGTCGAGTGATTGGTGGCGTTGAGAAATGAGAATAGTCTCATGCTCTGATTAGTTTATTTGCCCTAGTTGGCATTACACAACTTTACAATGTGTAAGAAATGTTCTGTAACCACATGAGTAAAGATAGATGATTTCAAACTTTTATTCGTTAATTACAGTTTGTTATGATTTGATTTGAACAAAATTGGCTTGATGTTTACTCATTGGTAGGTAAGTGGAGGACGAATGTGTAAGAAACAAATATATTAGAGGTAGATTTAGGGATTGAAGAGCATAATTAGAGACAAAATTTAGAGATTTTTTTCAAAGCGAAAGACAACATTTACAGCCTGTTTGGATACAATTCCGGAAGAAATGGAAATGGAAATGGAATTCAATTTTTTATTTTTATAGAATTCCATTTCCAATTCTAGTGTTTGGTATAATTCCTACAACTATGGAAATGAATTGCACTTTTAACCATAATGAATAATGTAATATGTTTGTTTTATTTTGGGAAATGAAATATGAATGAGAGAGAAAGAGAGTAAAATGATAGTGGGTCAACAAAATAATAAAAAGTATTGATGGGTCTCACTAATTCCATCTTCATTCTCTCAATTCCTATCACTTTTGATAGGAATTGTAATTCCCATATTTTAGACCCATTGGAATTCAATTCTCAACCTTTTTATTATTCCAAACATAATATATGGAAATTGAATTGGAAATGGAATTCTAATTCCTTACTTTTTTGTCAATCCAAACAGAGGGTTAGAGATTTGAAGAAGGAATTGAGAGAGAACAAGAGAAGAGGTCGTCGACCTAACTAAAAAGGGTAAATAATTGTGTTTTTTGTTTTTTAGATGGTTGTTGGCCACAATGTTCAAACTCATGATGTGGTGTATGCTCTAATTCTCAAATTACCACTATATCAATTCGTTAGAATTTGATTTATAATTTTTTAAATGATATATAATTTAATTTCTTCTTAATTATGAAATAAAGAACCAAAGTACATATTAATAAAAAAAATCCTAAAACGCTAAAATAAACATAATTCTAACCCTAAGCTACTCCACCCCTTCTTAGCCGCCGCCAATTAAGGCTGCAAATGAGCCGAGCTGCTCGCCAGCGGCTCGGCGTTCGACTCGAGAAAATCGAAACTCGACTCGTTAATAAACGAGCCAAACATGAGCTAAGCTTTGTTCAGCTCGTGAAACTCGCGAGCTAGCTCGACTCGGTGGCTTTTGAGCTAAACTCGTGAGCTGGCTCATATAGAGCTCATGATATGTCTCAACATGTGGCTAGAGAGCCAACTCGATTACCGACTTATGGATGAATCAATCTATATCTTATGATTTTAATTCACATGGTTGTTAAATTATATATCTCACCATATATAAAGTGCAAATATATCTTATTTCTACTTTTTTTTTATAAGAAATCTTATTTTTTTACTTTAAAAAGAAATTATGTATCATAGATTGCTTTGATACTATGAAATAACATGATTTGGAGTAGTTAAAATTTATTAACTAAATGATATATGATACCAACAAAGTATAATACGAGATTAGCTAACAAAATCAATCATATGTATCATGATAAACAAAATGAATTACCAAATAAAAGGCAAGATTTTAGTAAACAAGCTAGCTCAAACTCAACTCGACTCGGCTCATTAATAAACGAGCTGAGCTCGAGCTCGACTCGTTTATTAACGACTTGCGCTCAAGTTGAGTTAAAACTCGACTCGACTCGGCTCATTTGCAGCCTACCGCCAATCCCCTCCCTCAAATTGTTCTAAAGACCCCATGTTCCTTGTACACCACTCCACCATCCCCTTCTGTGTTCCCAAGCTACCACTTGTGTGCAACTGCACCCTGACCGATTGGTTACCAACTCCATCCCTCTCCTTGTTCATGATAGTGAACCATTGCGGCTTTTCTCATCTCCTTGTTGCCACGGCTGGCCAATAGGACGTCGTTAGGTACATAGTTGATGTCGTACTCGCTTCAACTTATTGATTCTACTTGGTTTTTGGTTCTAGGAAATGCACAGGGTCTCCACTGGTGATTCAATTTTGATAGGATGAACTGGTCTTCAACAGAAGCATGTAGTGGGACTGTATATCTCAAGCTCCTAAGGAAGTATATCAACCTCGGTCATGGCCACCCGGATTTTAGTACGCATGGCTGGCTATAGGTTTATTGGAGAATGGTTTGTTGACTGTTATTGCTTTCATCTTGATGCTCAGCAGGTTGATACCTTCATTACCATTTGCTTGTCATGGAGAAAGATAGCAATGTTTATGTTGGGTTTGGGATAATTCAGCTTGTACTCTGTCACTTTCCAAACTATTTTCGAGACTCCATCTGGCCCACAGATTATCTATCAGCAATATTCAAGTATATTCAAACATATTTGAATCCTTAACTATATACAATGACTATAATTACCAATTCAATATCAAAGTAAAGGGAAATGAGGAAGATGAAAAGTAGAATAACTATTCAACTCAGGTGGCAGGACAGTTGTGCAGATGGGATGAAGCAAGTTGAACATCCAAGCCATCCAAAGTGCAGACGTCTAGGAAGCAACCAATCCTCGATAATTACTCCTTGCTTCTCCGAATTCTTTGAACATCTCTACGGGATCAGAACACAGACATAGGATGGAAATCAGAGGAGGGTCTTATGTTGTTGTTGTTGTTAGGGTACTTGCAGTGAAGGTGCCTTCCAACTGCAAGAACCAAGCCTTGTTCCTCGAAGATTCCGAGCAGGTAAGAAGGCCACACCTTGACTTCAAGACTCAACAATGAATTCCTCAATCTCGATTCCAGTATGGCGAGCCCCTCCTTGTACTCGCAACAAAACTTCGTCACCAAGTTTCAGTGAAGTCACAGGAACTGCAGTCACTAGTTGCGGCTCATTAACTGCAGATAATAATACAAAGTTGAAATGCTGAAAAGTGAAAAGAGTTAATGCAACGAGATCAATTAAAAGGCTTCAAAATAAGTCCGGGATTTACACAGTAATGACCTTTGCAAGCAGGGGGTATTAAGGCAACTGTTTCCGCATTCTGTAGGAAGATGCTGTAAGTCGTTTCACTCTCCGACTCTATCTGCAACAGAACAAAACCATAGTGATAGAGATCCGTTAGTTTTTACACAGTACCAAGAGCAATAGCACTCATATAAATTCGTACAACAAGCAAACATCAACATCTTCATAGTGCATACCTTTGCCTCCACTAAAACAAGAGGCCTGGTCTCTATCTTCACACGTCCCGTAATTGCAGTACGTGTGCGGCCCTTCTGGTCAGCTATGATAACTTCTTTTCCTGCCTTGAGCTCTGAGAGGTAACATGTCCTCCCTCCAGGTATACAGACATATGCATGCACTGGACCCTGCACCAACCAACATCCCCCACAAAAATACTTTTGGACTAAGTTCCTTGAAATTCAAAAACTATACTGCAAAGGTAGCTATTTTCCACTCCCGAGTTCAACCAATGGGCAGAAATGAAGGAAAAGTACCACAATAGGGTATCTAAAAACACCAGAATGGTTGTCCAAGTATCACCTAGAGAGCATTTAGCAGCAGAAACTCACAGCATTGACACGAAAAGGCCGACTGGCAATGTAATTCGACTCCAAGCATTCCGAATGAACAAGGAATAGTCCTCTGGCAAAGGAGCCAACCTAACGAAGAGATACATAACAACCACAGAAAGTGTTAGTGTTACCCTAATAGTTTAAGAAACATTTCAAGATAATAAGGATCTAGGGACATGCCAGTAGTCCCTCCCCAGGTCTCATTAAGCTGCAGAGGTCCACACAAACACGATCACCCATACCAACTGCTTCAATCCGAGTTATGGTTGCTTTTGATAACCTCAAAAGATTATGTCCTTCATTTCTTCTGTCTAAATAATCCTGAGATGAGATTACACAAACATAAGCATAAATCCCTGACCTTTCAGTAAAACCATGTATCAACCACTCAAAAAGTAATCACCTTTAGCTCGAGTAGAGGTTCAACTTTTTCAACATTGAGAACGACCCCACCTAAACCATGCTCTAGAGCCTGAACAAACACGATATCGCATAAGCTGTGTAACATTACCATCCTTAAGATGCTTTCAATCACAGTAATGGATGCAAGTGATACCTCGAGGAAAGTCTGTGCCTCAGAAGCCGATTTGGAGATTGCAAATACCGTTTTCCCACTTCCTTGGAATGCTGCAACTATGTTCTCCGCCGGTATCATCTTACAAAGCATTACATTGTGTGAGGCCCAAGTTAGACTCTTCTTTAAGCCATCAGCAGAAGATTGTAATCCCCATTGGCAATAGTGATTCTACCTGCCAATCTTTTAAGTCAACGATGACATTATCAGCCTTTGCTCTTTCTGGGTTCAGCAGCTGTAACTCTTGCGGGGTGGAAACTTCGAAAACCGTCGCGATTCTCCGCTTTTCAGAATCCAAAACCTCTTCTTCCTTGATAAAGAGCGGGCGAATCAAAGCAATTGCTGCACACAATTAAGAACACAACCAAATCAATGAAATTACAATGTTAAGCACAGATGTAGAACAACGTGGTGAGAGGGTTTACAAGACCATTCTTCGGCGAGAAATCGATGTTGGGGGAAGAAGAGGAAGGTGTTCAATCCTCTCTCCACAGCAGAAGTCATGACTTGCTTGCTCTGTGTAAGTATCCACACCTTCTTCGACCTCTCGCTAGACATTTCCGAAACCAAAATTGAGGAACAAGCAGAAGAGGGAGAAGAGTTAGAGGAAGAGCAAACTGAACAATTTGGCCGATAAGAACTTCGCGGGGGAGAATCTGCCTTCTTGTGGTCGTTCCAGGAATCAAATTTGCAGAGCTTCTTCTTCCAGTCCACTGCAAGTGCAAGTATATTCAGAGCCGATTGAGAGGGGGGAAAACGAGGCTTGAAAATTCGCTGGTTGGAGAAGGAAAGGGAAATGGAGCTTGCGAACCAATTTGGGTGAGCGAAGAGGGAAACCGTGGGAGGGTGATGGACGCAGAAGAACACATCCAGACCGCCATGGAGATGGCTATTTTGCTTCAGCCTTCAGGTGGCACAGGCATATTCAGAATCGGGCTTCTTTGCTTTAATATCTCAACTTGGGCTATACTTCAGTATTCTTGGGCTAATAAGTTGAACAGCCGGCCCAACAGATCTCTGTCCTCAATAAGGCCCCAACGATTTATGAAGTCCACATTCCGCGGGTTGGTTTAACCAAATCGTACAGGTTGGATGTAACCACAATGGTCTGGTCTAATGTAGTTAAAATCGCGTTTCAAAACTTAAAACTTACGTTATTACACTTTTAGGCCATCAAAACGTTTCAACCTAAAATCGTGATTTTTCTTATAATTTTAGTGAAAATATACGCTTTAAAACTTAAAAACTATAATTTTTACGATCCTAGAGCACCAAAAAGCTTCTACATTGAATCACGATTTTGACTACATTGGTCCGGTCCGTGCCGGACCAAATAAATGTTTAGGTCGAACCGAGTATAATAAGGTCCAGTTCTTAGACCCATGGATTTTATAAATATTGAAAAAAATTTGACCGAGTTTGACATTTGGACTGGATCAAATGACACTGAAGCAATAATTGTCTAGTTCTTGATCCTAACATGTCTTTCACTAATAGACCGCAATTCTCATGAATTTGATCTGACCGATTCTATGCCCACATCTTCATCTAAAATGGTTGGAATTTAAATCAACAATATTATTAAAATATTATTGTTTGCTAGAATGGAGAAGGGATTTATCAAGATCAACTTCGATGCCGCTGTTCGTGACCAAGGTTGCTCATCAGGCCTCGTCGCTCGAGGATCGGATGGGCAAGTCTTTTTGGCCTTGGGATTCCATCATCCAGGGATTTCGAATCCTTATCTTGCAGAGTTGCTGGCCGCCAGGGACGTAATCTCTTTAGTGCTTTCTCGCAGTATTTCCCTCGCCATCATCGAAGGTGATTCAGAAGTGGTTATCCGGCAACTTGATGGTCGATGCTGTGAAGACTCGGTAGGAGGGCCCTTACTTCGTGATTGTCTGCAGTTGTTGAGATCCTGTTCTTCTTGTACTCTCTTTAGTTCGGTCCCGAGGACTGTCAACTGGGCTGCCCATAGAGTGGCAAGACAAGCCCCGCTGTTGTCCCCTGTAGAGATAGCGTCCTTCGATTTTGTAGGGTGGCTTCACTAACTGTCTTTTTGGAGTTTTGGGTAGAGGTTTTAACTATTGTTTTTTTATATTACTTGAAAAAAAAATGGAGAAGGGATTTAGTGCATAACAAGAGTAAGGAGTTGAAGCAAACAAGTAATTGATTTAGTGCATATATCAGTTATTTTCAATTTGGAGGTCTCAAATTTATAACGGCAGAATTGAATTGAAAGTTACACCAATTTAAAATTCTAAAATTGGTTCATTGAAGAGTACTAGGATATGCTCACTTGCTTTGCTCAATGAAATTTAGACACAATTCCATGGTCAATCTCTTCATCCGACCTCACAAGCACAACAAAACCAGACTAGAACTCATACATCATCATTATACCATCTACGAAGTGAAGAACCTCAGCAGCATCTGGTGCTCATAAGGCTTGGAAGGAGTAAGAATGGTGGAAGGAAAATTGGGATGATTCACAGCATCAGGATACCCCTGAGTCTCCAAACACAGAGCCCCACTCTTCCTGTACACCACCCCACCTTTCCCTTTCGTCTCTCCAAGCGACCCGCTAGTGTACAGCTGCACCGCCGGCTGGTTCGTGAACAGCTCCATCACCCTCCCGGTCTTCCGATCATGAACCACCGCCGCCTTCCTCAGCCCCCTCTTGTTCCCCCGCCGGATTATTTCCTTGTCGTCCAGCACATAGTTGATGTCATACCCTTTTTGCAACTCACCGATCCTGCTCCCGACGGATTTCGATTTTAGGAAGTCGTAGGGCGTCCCCACGACGGAGACGACTTTCCCCGTGGGGATGAGCTCGCCGTCGGTCGGGGTGTAGCGGGAGGCGTAGATCTCGAGCTCGTTGGAGAGGATGTCGCCGCTGTCGTGGCCGCCGAGGTTCCAGTAGGCGTGGTTGGCCAGGTTGACCGGTGTCGCCTTGTTGAGTGCTCTGGCTTTCATCTTGATGCTCAGCTGGTTGTAGGCTAGGAGAGTGTACTTCACCACCGCCACCACGTCGCCGGGGAACCCTATTGATCACATGATCACATTTCGGATTAAAACATGTCGCGGTGACATTATACGCGTTAAAAGAATCAGTTTGTCCTAATAACTCGTACCTTGCTCGCCATTGGGGCTGAGGTATTGGAAGACGATGTAAGGCTCGACGTCGTTGGGCTTGTAGTCGGTCACTTTCCAGATGACCTTGGAGAACCCAATTGGGCCGCCGTGAAGCGTGTTCTTGCCGTCGTTGGAGATCAATTTGTAGAGGGTGCCGTTGAGAGTGAACTGAGCGCCGGCGATTCTGTTGGCGACTCTGCCCACCGTGGCTCCGAAGCTGTTGGTGTCGTTCTGAGACAAAAAAGGCGATGACTTGATCTCATCAGATGACTATAAAACCTACCTATAATGTAGTTTGTGATTAAGAGGATATAATCAATCGTAGTTGTTGAAGATTTTTTGGGGTAGAATATTATATAGTCCCCAAACCACATCCACCAGTCCAAATGTCCAATGCATGTGCTTGGAATTATAGTAACTCGAGTCTCTCTCTAGATTTTCAAAGCCACAAAATGGATCTTAGCCTTAGAAAAGGTGTATGCAATACAATGCACATCTTTGTTATTGTGGTCATGATTGAGATTAAGCTCGAGATTGTAGCATAAGAAATTTCAAAGGAATGTAAAAGTAAAACCAATTTTGGGGGAATCCGATAAGACCCATCTTTTCTCCACTTTGTTAGATATGAAAAAAAGGTGCCTTTATGTGCAACAGGACAAAAAAGGGACGTTTTTTTCTCTGCAAAAGATGAGCTGTAAACGTTGTCCCCTGCCGTTGCGTTTCTCATCAGAGAGTGGGAGGAGAGAGAGAGAGAGAGACTGATGATCATTTACCACTAGGATATGAATGAAGTTGGTGGATCATGAATTGGAATGGAACATGATGATGAAGAAAATCAATAACTGCGATTGATCTCTAAACTGAAGGGAAATGGAGCTAGCTAGGATCGATGGATCTCACCTTGTAAGCCTCAGCAGTGTCATATCCAAGAATCACATCATTCAGCTTCCCTGCAGTGAAACCCAGATTTCGATTCAAGGAAAAACGCACACGCAAACTAACTGGAGAAGCAGAAGATACATACAAGAAGAGATCGAGATCAGGGAAGCTGGGTAGCTAACCGTATTTGTCAGGGACAATGAAGGACATCATATGGGCGCCATAGTTGGTGACCTTGAGTGACATCTTCCCTTTCTTGAGCTCATAAGTCCCAATCTTGGTTTCCCCATCACCAGCACCAAAAGCCACTACCAGAAGCGCACTCAAACTCAAACCGAGAAGCATCAGAGAAGAACAGTACTTGGCCATGGTCACCACTCTGTTTTTGCTTCTAGGCAGATCTCTCTTCTCCTCTGTTTTGTTCTCTGCAGCTTCCTGATCTGCACTTTATATAATGGGGGGGAAATGAGAAGACAATTCCAAGTGAAGTGACGGTGGAATTGAGAAGAAAGGAAATATACAAGGAAGGAAGGCGGCCGAGGATTTAATTGATTAGTCTATTTTGTTGAATGTGTATTGGGAGCAAGCTAGCAATGCTCTGTTTTTTCTTACCAGAAGATGCGGCAGGCTGGATGGGTTTAGTTCCCATTGACGTTACCGAGAGAGATCTTTATGGGGAGTTTTTTGTATCTTGGTGAATGATTTGCGTGCACTGAATAAATGAGATAAGGAAATGAAGAATGGGAAAAGATGCTAAGCTCTAAAATATGTGATTACACCTCACTTGGATGTTCTCCTTCTACCACTTGTCCAGTTTGGAAATGCCTGCAAAAATCCAATATACTAGTCTCACTTGTCTTGTCTCTAACCAAAATGAACTAGACTACTAGACTCCTAAGTCCTAATACCATTTTGCATATTATGCAAGGTTCAAAAGCGAGACTAGACACTTGGTTAGGCGAATGAAAAGGAAAATGCCTAGACAACGACTAAACATGCTAAGCATTAGCTAAAGCCTCAACACTCGTCTTACGCCTAACATTTTTTTGAATCTTAATATTATGTATTTAAAAATAAAGTGCAAAACAACACTATCTCTTAATTATTACTGTTTAGGCCTAGAATGTGCTAGGCGGTTTGTATGGAACGAGCAAGGCGCCTGATCAGGATGATGGGGGACTCCAAGCTCCTGCAAAACAAGGGTCCGTGGGCGGTCGCCCGGGACACTCTCCGATGCTTAAGTTAGAGAGAGAAGGGAGAGCTTATGTTTGTTTAGAGAGAGAGAGTAGTAGTTGGTTACCATTAATGCTGATCCCGGTGTATTTATAGTCCTCCTCTCGAGCATGGGCATTAAATGCTATTGTCAGGCGTCCTACGTGCACCTTACCTTTTCTGGACCGCCTACGGCGGGCATTTAATGCTTGTTCCTGCTGTATCCGAGGTAGGTATCCCCAGGAAGATCTCCTTTCTGACACCAACGGCCACTTGTGTCGGGCGGCCTAGTCCCCGTCTTGTCATAGGGCGGCCGCCTGCCGTTCCCTTTCGCCCATGCTCTCCCTCGGGTTCTCCACCGAGCCTCTGGACTCCTCCCTGAGCCCTGTTTAACTATTCCTTCATGGGCCTCGAGCCCACTATTGCTCAACTATGGGCCCAACAATTGCCCTTTAGTCGGGAAAAGCTTCGGGTTTTGGCGGCTACCCACTGCCTAACTATAGTTGAGCGGTCCCCTGACGCAGCCAGTACTTGCCCCTTGCCCCTGGCCGCCAAGAGACGAAGGGTTCCTCCAACGCGGTCCGGTGTCCATGTTGCGCAGCCTTCTTGACGTCAGCGCTTTACTTCGGCTGAGGGTTTCTTTCCATTGTCCCCCTTCCTGCGGTTGTGAACGCTAAGCAGTCGATTTTCTAGCCGTGTGATCGTTCGGGCGCTCCATGCGGTCGACCCCTAGTCGAGATGGTTGACGCTAAGACTGAGGATTTAGGTACTTCTGCTATTTCCCCCTCCTCGAGTCGTGCGTGAGACTAGGCGGTCCCCAATTGCTAATGCGTCCCACACTTCAGAGTTTAATGCGGTTAACTTCCAGCCGATTCGGCTTCTGCAGGCCGTTGCGTCGTTTGCATGCTGCACCACGTGTATGCTCTCGAAATTGGTGCACTGACATCGGGCAGGCCTCACGTCCAATCACCTGCCCGGCTTTTTGAAATACCTAGGGTAGGGTTTGCCCTCGGTCACTCAACCGTCGTTTCACTTGCCCCCTTTTTGCCCTATTTAAGTTCGTTCCTTCTCCGATCCTTTTCTTCCTTCCCCACTTTGCTCGTTGCTGCTTTCTTTTTCTTCCGGCCAAAATTGCTCGCTGCTCTCGATTTTCCCTTTCTTCTTACCTGAGAGATAACTCCTCTCTGTCGCCAGTTCGAGCGGAGTTCTTGACGAAACTTCGACGTTCCCAGAAACGAGCGAAAAGGCGACGAAGGCAGCAAATGGCGAAGGAATCCCAAAGCGCAACTCCATCCGATAGCCAGAATCGGAATCTCTCCAGCGACGCCGCCGCCGTCACCTCCAGCGGAGCTGCTGCCACCACCACCTCCGGCGACGTTCGCACTTCCAGCAGTGCCCCCCGGTCGTCGAGCGGACCGCCTGCTGGGAGTAAGCAGCCGTCAGGTAATTGATTCTTCTTTTCTCGTGCGGTTTTAGGTTAGATACGTAGGTAGTCTCGATTTATGCGCTTCCTAGCACAATACTTAGGCGGTCATTCTGTGGCCTTTTAGGAGTAGAACGTGACTTTGAGCGTGTGACGGGGACTTCTGCCGGTCGCCGAGGGACATCGTCGGCAGTCGGCGATAACCTTGGGGATTTCAGCTACTCTGAGGCGGAAAGTGAGCCGCCTGCTACTGTACCAGTCGTGCCCCTCTCATCGGACAGCGGGTCTGAGGACCGCCCAATAGCGGAGGAGAGGGACCTGTCCCCTTCTTTGACGATCTCCGATTCGCTCCCAATCTCCGCGTTCCAGGCCATAAATGATGATGTTTATCGGGTTAGGTTACACGCGGATATGTGGGAAGGGGAAGAGGTGCCTGAGAGTGCGTTCGAACAGGGACCGCCTAACACGGCCGCGTACAAACCTCATCAAGTATTGCGGCAGCTGAAATTGCACGGTCTTCCTGTGGATTGGGAATATGCGGCTCCTTCCCCGATAGGTCGCTCGGGATCGTGTCCGGGCGGTTGGATTCCTATACACGTGGAACATATCCGGATGGGGTTAACTTTTCCCATCGACCCCCTCCTTACTCGGACGCTCCTCTTTTTGAACTGCACTTTGGGTCGCCTATCGCCCGGCATAGTTTTCCACTCTATTGTCTTTCGGGCCGCATGTGCGAAGATCAACGAGACGCCCTCCTTCGATGCTTTTCGGCTGTTGTACAAGATGAGGGGTTCCGAAAACTGTTGGTCCTGCTACCGTCGAGAGACACGGGTGGGTCTCGTGAGCGGGGCGCCAAAGTTGGACTCCCCTTGGTTTAAAGAGTACTTCTTCGCCCGTCCGAAAGGTAACTGGTATTCCGGAGAGGTTGAACCGCCAACGGGTTTTGCATTGGGGGACAAGAAGGATTGGAACACTGACGTGAGCGGCCTCCAATCTAGCAAACCACTTTTAAAGCGGATCGTGAATGCCCTTCAGATTAAACTTCCTCCTAAAGGCGATGACAACCCTTTGGAGATTATTCGGCGCTTTCACGGTTGGTTGCTTTCTTCGTATTTACCAAGTTCTTTTTATGGTTTTCGCTTATCCGTCCTTTCTTCGCAGGTACCCGTCGCTATGCTGCCTCTGCTCGACCGCCGAAGCCGGGAACTGCTGCTCCTGTTCCTCCTTCTCCCGTGGAACCTGCACATCCGGCGTCTCTTGTCGCGAAGCCAACTTCGCCTTCACAAAAGCAGCTGGTGGCCGGCCGCTCCGGAGTTCTGAAACTATCGGAGCCTGCTCCCGCGAAGAAGTCCCTTAAGCGGTCCTTGGACATCACTTCCTCGAAGGACCTTGCTGCGACCGCCGAGGAGCCCCGACTGAAAGGGATTTTACTGGAAAAGCCTTCAACTCCCCTTGATGCCTATATCCCAAAGAAGCAGAAGAGGACCTCCGTTGACACATCCGTCTCCTTCTCCTCTCATGCCTCTTTGTATCCTGTGGCCGCCAAGCGAGCCATGCATGTGATCTCGGAGGGCTTGGCGGTTCCCGAGGACTACACCCACGTCTCGGGGACTCCGGTGCTCTCCTCCGACACCAAGCACTTGGCGGCTGCCACCTCGCGTTACTTCTTCGCGGTATGCACCCCGTCCGACATCCTATGACCGCTTTTCTTTACTTACTCCACCATCTAGTTTTAACCTTTTCTTATCACAGGCTCAGTTTGGTTTAAACCAAATGATGTTGCACAATGACCGCCTCCAAAATGACCTTTATGATGCTGGCACCAAGATTCTCAAGTTGGAGGAACAGGTCAAGGATGGTCGCGAAGGAATGAAGGCCGAGGTGAGGGAGGAGGTGTTGGAGGAGCAGGCTCTGGTCCTGAAGGAAAAGGATGCCCAGATCGAGTCGGGCAAGGAGTTGCTGAAGAAGGCAGAAGACGAGGTAGAGCGGCTGAAGGTCGAATTGGGCGAATCCTTGTCAAGGGAGAGCGCCCTTCAGACGGAGCTGTCCAAGCTTCGGATTGAAAAGTCGGAGTTGCAGGACGCCCGGGAGGCCGATATGATGCGAGCCGCTCAAGAGGCGAGGGAATCATTTTGGTGTTCCCCCGAGTACCAAGCCGCCGACAACAAGAAGTACAAAAAGCTGCTCGGTGACACAGTGTCTGCTATCCGCCACTGGTTCCGCCGTGAGTACCCCGGGGTTGTGTGGGATACTGATGCTATATGGGATGCGGTTGAGTTTTGGGGTGATGACGACGTGAATTCGGAGCGCGTCGCAACTCCCGAGGCGCCCCATGATACTGCCGCTAGCATAGAGATTGAGACCGCCGCCAATGCAGGGGAGAGCGGTCAGCCAGCTGATGGAGAGAAGAGCGGCTGACCCATCTTTTAACCATTTTACTGTGCTTGCTTTTCTTTTCCTTGCAAACAATTCGCCTCGTGCGTTCTTATGCTTTGTATGCTTATATTTTTGGAGCCGCCTTTGCTGCTCCTTATGGAATGGTTGACCTTTTGAATGTTAATTCCGTCTTTCCGCTTCTATCTTCTTAATGCGTCCGTGATTTATGCGGTTTATGTTTATTCGTTGAGAGCGCTCTGAGGCGAGTTTGGGCTTTATAGCCTTATGTTCTGGGCAGTGTGCTTGGAAGCGGCTTGCGGGCTTCGCTTTTTCTTACGGGGTATTAAGTTGGACTGTGGGCGCTCGGGGACGGTTCGCACGTCTACATTACGCTTAGTAGCGGTTTTAAGCTAAGCTCAGGGGCGGTTCACGCAAATATTTTACGCTGAGAAGCGGTTTTAAGCTACGCTCAGGGGCGGTTTACACGATGACTTTACGCTTAGGAGCGGTTTTAAGCCAGGCTCTAGGGCGCGGTGCACAGTGGCGGTCTACACATTTTTTCCTTAGTCGTATGTGACGAATTGTTAGGACATTCTGTTTTAATGTCAAAAGGTGACGCTCGGCGGCGTTTTTCATTGATCGTGCATCTGGGTGCACTTAGGAGGACGCCTACTACTATGCGCCTCATACAAAATGGATGGCTCCATGCCCCGATCTGGCGGACTACTCAAAATACTTCTTCAGATGGATGGCGTTCCATGTCTTCGTTAGCGGCTTTCCCTCCATT